CACATCGTCACAAATGTCTGACCCCCCTACCCCTCCCCCCGCTAGGTGCGTGACGTCATTTATGGACGGCCCCCTTTTAATATTTACGCGATCTAACTTTAAAAAAGACCTACTCTTTCGTTCGCATCGGTAAGGTCACGTGGGTAAAACAAATCAAAATAAATTGCTTTCATTGTTTCTTTCATTTCATTTCAATTCATTTTCATTTTTGTTTTTTTACCCACACGCGACTTTACCGAATAGAACCAAAGAGTAAGAATCCTCGCAGTCGCGAAAGAAGCTTCCAATCTAGAATTTAAAAAAAGACCTCTATTACGGCCGATAAACGATGATCGTGATGGATTCGATACAGACGAGAACCACGCACCGCGGAGCTTCTACGAACGAAAACAACTTGACTTGATTTGATTCCTGAGAAGTGAGACAGGCAAACGAGACGCAGCCACTGCCCCCTGCTTGGGTCACGTGGTAGGAGCGGCTTGGGGGGGTGACGGGTGTAACGATGATGAACATCGGAAGCAGCGCAATCATAAATCAAAGCCGTGACGTCGCGTTGCTAAACGCACCGCGCGCTCAACGCCAGCTCGCCCGTGTGTGTGTGTGATGTAACGGCACTTGCCCCAACAGTCTGCTAAGGCTACACGGGGGATCTTTTGTCGTTCATGCAGCAGTGAACGTTAACACAAGTTATACAGCGCACAGTAAGATACAGTACACTATATATAAAAACAATGTTTAACCAAAACACTGCACGTCTATATATATAAAAAAGGGAAATTTGCGAATATGTGTGTCTGTTCAAAATGTTTAGCGTGCTTCCCGACATGCAACAAACTTGAGATTTGGCAAGTGGGTAGCTTCCAGACTGTACACAATGCAAAAAGTATAAAAATAGACTTTTGTATTTTGTGGGGGGGGGGGAGGGCTTAATAATGGATATATTTTGCACGGCAAGTGAGCGGTGACGTCACATCTGTGATGTCACCCGCATGCGGCAGCGTCACGCGGTGCCTGCTGACGTCACGCATCCCCCCCCCCCCCCCGCCGCCCCACCCTCCGCGTAGGCCGTGTACTAATCCAAGGCAAGAATCCAAGTCCCCGGCGAGGCCGGGTAGTAAAGCTCGTCAATAATATATTGTACTCAGCGGCATGCGTGACGCAAGCGACCTTAACTCCGTCACGTGAACTCCGGTCATCCTCACAACGGGAGGACCCAAATAAAAATTCCACGCGACCACGGGGAGAGAGAGAGAGAGACGCAAACTCAAAATACGCAGCAGCAGCAGGCGTCGTACGGGATGGGGATCGAATCCACGACCTCCTGCACACCAGGCGAGGTAGTTAACATCTCCTAGCCACCGTGATGATGATGATGAAAGAGAGAGACACGCAGACTCCAAATATACAGCAGGCGTCAGGGTCAGGTTGACCCCACGACCTCCTGCATACCAGGCGAGGTAGTTAACATCTCCTAGCCACCGTGGTGATGATGATGATGAAAGAGAGAGACACGCAGACTCTAAATATACAGCAGGCATCGCGTCAGGGTCAGGTTCAAGCCCACGACCTCCTGCGAACGAGACGAGGTAGTCAACGCCTCTCTAGCCACCGTGACACCCTTTTAAAATTTCCAATCTCCCGACCCACGGCTAACATCAGCGGCCTAAACGTATCGTAATCGTGATCCCGGGCCTCATCCTCGACTCACCGGCACGCCCTGTGCCGGACCGACCTCGTCTGGCAAAAAACACGACCCGCATGGCTGAAAGTCGGCAGGGGAAGAAGGCCTTCCTCCAGGCAGTTGATTATTAAAGGGCTGTAGCAATTATCATTAAAATTCATGGAAAATAATTATTGTTTGGATTCCACAAATAAACGGGAACGCGTACATACGCAGTCATTATAAAGATCCTCCGTGTAGCCTGTAACAGGCTGTAGGAGCAAGTGCTGTTAGCGAGCACCTATGAAGGCTGGCACTGTGGCACACGAGGGGGTGGGTGGCCAGCACCACGCCCGGCCGCCTTTGTCTCCCCAGTGGCGATGTTTACTACGCACCGTTACACCAGATACTCACTAGAGACCGAGTCGACCTAGGGGAGGCCCAGGACCGGTTCAGATAAGCGTCACTGGGAGACTCCGAGAGACAAACGAAGACAGCTCTTGGATTCTCAGGGTTCTGTGTGAATGCTTGAGACTCATAGAGCCAGACTAAGACAGCTCTTGGATTCTCAGGGTTCTGTGTGAATGCCTGAGACACATAGAACCAGACTACGACAGCTCTTGGATTCTCAGGGTTCTGTGTGAATGCCTGAGACTCATAGAGCCAGACTAAGACAGCTCTTGGATTCTCAGGGTTCTCTGTGAATGCCTGAGACTCATAGAGCCAGACTAAGACAGCTCTTGGATTCTCAGGGTTCTGTGTGAATGCCTGAGACTCATAGAGCCAGACTAAGACAGCTTTCGAATTCTCAGGGTTCTGTGTGAATGCCTGAGACTCATAGAGCCAGACTAAGACAGCTCTTGGATTCTCAGGGTTCTGTGTGAATGCCTGAGACTCATAGAACCAGACTAAGACAGCTCTTGGATTCTCAGGGTTCTGTGTGAATGCCTGAGACTCACAGAACCAGACTAAGACAGCTCTTGGATTCTCAGGGTTCTGTGTTAATGCTTGAGACTCATAGAGCCAGACTAAGACATCTCTTGGATTCTCAGGGTTCTGTGTGAATGCCTGAGACTCAGAACCAGACTAAGACAGCTCTTGGATTATCTACCCCCTCTCTCTCTACCCCCTCTCTACCCTCTCTCTACCCCCTCTCTACCCCCTCTCTCTCTACCCCCTCTCTCTCTACCCCCTCCCTCTCTATCCCCTCCCTCTCTATCCCCTCTCTTTCTATCCCCTCCCTCTCTACCCCCTCTCTCTCTACCCCCTCTCTCTCTACCCCCTCTCTCTCTACCCCCCCCCCTCTCTCTCTATCCCCTCTCTCTACCCCCTCTCTCTCTACCCCCTCTCTCTCTACCCCCTCTCTCTCTACCCCCTCTCTCTCTCCCCCCTCTCTACCCCCCCCCTCTCTCTACCCCCCCCCCCCTCTCTCTACCCCCCCTCTCTCTATCCCTTCTCTCTCTATCCCCTCTCTCTCTATCCCCTCTCTCTCTATCCCCTCTCTCTCTATCCCCTCTCTCTCTATCCCCTCTCTCTCTACCCCCTCTCTCTACCCCCTCTCTCTACCCCCTCTCTCTACCCCCTCTCTCTACCCCCTCTCTCTCTATCCCCTCTCTCTCTATCCCCTCTCTCTCTATCCCCTCTCTCTCTATCCCCTCTCTCTCTAACCCCTCTCTCTCTATCCCCTCTCTCTCTATCCCCTCTCTCTCTATCCCCTCTCTCTCTATCCCCTCTCTCTCTACCCCCTCTCTCTACCCCCTCTCTCTACCCCCTCTCTCTCTACCCCCTCTCTCTCTACCCCCTCTCTCTCTACCCCCTCTCTACCCCCCCCCCTCTCTCTACCCCCCCCCCCCTCTCTCTACCCCCCCTCTCTCTATCCCTTCTCTCTCTATCCCCTCTCTCTCTATCCCCTCTCTCTCTATCCCCTCTCTCTCTATCCCCTCTCTCTCTATCCCCTCTCTCTCTACCCCCTCTCTCTACCCCCTCTCTCTACCCCCTCTCTCTCTATCCCCTCTCTCTCTATCCCCTCTCTCTCTATCCCCTCTCTCTCTATCCCCTCTCTCTCTATCCCCTCTCTCTCTATCCCCTCTCTCTCTATCCCCTCTCTCTCTATCCCCTCTCTCTCTATCCCCTCTCTCTCTATCCCCTCTCTCTCTATCCCCTCTCTCTCTATCCCCTCTCTCTCTATCCCCTCTCTCTCTACCCCCTCTCTCTACCCCCTCTCTCTACCCCCTCTCTCTACCCCCTCTCTCTACCCCCTCTCTCTACCCCCTCTCTCTACCCTCTCTCTCTCTATCCCCTCTCTCTCTCTATCCCCTCTCTCTCTATCCCCTCTCTCTCTATCCCCTCTCTCTCTATCCCCTCTCTCTCTATCCCCTCTCTCTCTATCCCCTCTCTCTCTATCCCCTCTCTCTCTATCCCCTCTCTCTCTATCCCCTCTCTCTCTATCCCCTCTCTCTCTATCCCCTCTCTCTCTACCCCCTCTCTCTACCCCCTCTCTCTACCCCCTCTCTCTCTCTCGCGTGGATCTCACTCCGATTCCCACCCCCCTCCTACACAGAGAATCAACAACACCACGCGTTTAGAGTGTTTGGCAACTACTCTAAATGTACACACGACGACGATGTGATGATGATGACTATGACACGCCACGTAATTGATCGATCATTAGCGAATGGGCCTGGTCGCTTCTAAAATAAACAAATACATAAAATAAAAAAGCTACACGGAAGCTCAGTGGAGCATCTGGGAGGGGGGAGGTGGGGGGGTGGGCCTGTGTAAAATAAAATAAAATTTAAAAAAAATTTAGTTTTCATTTTGAACTTTGTCGACGCCTCCATCCAGCAGTGGACTGGGCAGCGCGGCGACGATCGAGAGGCGCGGAATCGACGTCTCGGCTGCTCTTGACTTGAGGCCTACGACACGACACTGAGAGCTCAGCTAGCTCAGCTCGCTCAGCTCGCCGTCTTAAAGAGTTACACCGCTTACTTAAACACGCACTTAACGCAAGACCGACAACAGCTCAATTCTGTGCCAGCAGCAGCAGCAACAACAACAACAACAGCACAACAACAACACAACAACCAGACACCGTCATTCATTAAACACCCAAACATTTGAAACCCGTTCGCGTCCGTACAGGCGAACACTGCGACAATTCGCCCGATCGCCGCGCACGTAAGCGACGCAGAGACGCACCGAGTAAAACCTTCTACGTACAACCTCGAACGCCGATACACAACGCCGCTGTCTTGTTGTGTACCAACAACAACAACTACAGCAGCAGCTGTAGTAGTTGTTGTTGTTGTTGTGTGTCTCTGTAGGGCTTGATGTCTCTTACCGATCGGCGCTGCTTTCGTTACGCGAAGCCGTGAGCTGTGAGCGGATCGATGATCGATTGCTTTAGCCTGGCGCCCCCTTCCCTCTCTCCCCACCGGGTGTCGGTCAGTGGGGGGGAGTGGTGGGGGGGGGGACTTAGGGGGATTTGAGACGGACGCAGATTTTTTTTTTAAAGCTTGATTTGAAGCTTTCGTGACTGCCAGGAATCCATAGTCGTTGGTTCTTTCGGTAAAGTCCACGTGGGCAGAAACAAATTGAATAGATTTTGCGAACGACGTTTCGATCGCAAACAACAAGCGACCGTCTTCAGGTGAGAGAATCAGACTGGTGTGAACGAGAGAATCAGACTGCTTTGCCATCTTTTTTCCACCTCCATGGTGAATATGATGGCTGGGTGTATGGAAGTGATGTGGTTGATGGCAAGTTACCATTCTTGGATGTTTTAATCTAAAAGAGACCTGATGGCTCAATGAGACGCACCGTCTACAGGAAAGCTACCCACACGGATGCCTACCTAAAACCTGACTCCATCCCAGAAGAATTCACTCATCAAAACTCTACAGCCATAGAGCTCGCTGTATTTCCGACCATCACCACCTAGCCAGTGAACTGGAACACGTGCACCAAGCTCTCAAGAAGAATGGATATTCTGACTACACAATCCGTAAAGCTACCACGCCAACCGTTGGGAAAGAACCATCTGTGGACCCACTCAAAACCATCACCTTGCCATACATAGCAGGGGTCACCGAAAATAATTCCAAAATCATGAGCAAACACAAAATCCAGGTACGATTCAACACAGTACGTAAAATTCGTGATTTGATCCCACCTGTGAAGGATGTCATCCCTGACATGCAATACCCCGGCGTCTAATGACTAAGCAGTGTCTGCGACAGTAGTTACATTGGGGAAACTAAGCGACATGTCTAGGACCTGGTTCGTGAACATAAGGCAGATCTGAAACACGGTAGGACCAATACCTCGGCTGTGGCTGATCTATCTACGTGGCTTTACCGCCAGACCCAAAGATGATTGTTATTAATGTTTTTAATTGCTATTTAAACGGGCTCGTAATTGTGTTATTAAACTAATTTGAGTGAGATTTTTTTTGGAAGGGTGGTACCGGTGGGACTGGGAGTGCTTAACCGCCGCTAGGTTAAGTTTCGTTCTGATGTGTTTATTTTACTAAATAATTATCAATTAAAGTTGTTGCCAAAAACGTCGTGTTATTAGAAATTTGTTCTACACCATTCAAACGCCATGCGTACCAAACTTAAATTACAATGCAATACTCATTCGATTGATTGGTATTTTGAAGTTACCGCTTAGAATGAATGCTCTGTTAACGAATTGCGTGCGGGACAATTGGAGCCTTGGCGTTTTCGCAAATACCCTGAACTAGCAGAGCGGGGTTCGTGATCAATTTACAGCGGTCACGTGAAACTCGACAAGAAGCCAGACCCAGGGATCGAACCCCGCCCCTCAAGCAGTGCTGGCATCAGAGATGCTGACATGGCCATTATGAACCTAGAGTATGGACTGTGTGTTGAACTTCTTTCGCACCGTACGTAATGAGCTGTATTGTATAGCTGTTTCTCAGAAACGACGTGGACATCGCAATTGACAGCCCAGTGAAGTGGCTTATCTTCACCATCACGTGGATAATTACCGTAGCAGACAAATATTCTAAACGCCTCTTTCTACTGACTCACTGATAACCATAGAGACCCACAGAGACCCATACTCATAGAGACCCACAGAGACCATAATCACAGAGACCCATACTCATAGAGACCCATACTCATAGAGACCCATACTCACAGAGACCCATACTCATAGAGACCCACAGAGGCCCATACTCACAAAGACCCACAGAGACCCATACTCATAGAGACCCACAGAGACCCATACTCACAGAGACCCATACTCATAGAGAGCCATACTCATAGAGACCCACAGAGACCCATACTCACAGCGACCCACAGAGACCCATACTCACAGAGACCCATACTCACAGAGACCCACAGAGACACATACAGAGACCCATACTCATAGAGACCCATACTCATAGAGACCCACAGAGACACACACTCATAGAAACCCACAGAGACCCATACTCACAGAGACCCACAGAGACCCATACTCACAGCGACCCACAGAGACCCATACTCACAGAGACCCATACTCATAGAGGCCCACAGAGACACAAACTAATCGAGACCCACAGAGACCCATACTCACAGAGACCCACAGAGACCCATACTCACAGAGACCCACAGAGACACATACTCATAGAGACCCATACTCATAGAGACCCACAGAGAAACATACTCACAGAGACCCACAGAGACCCATACTCACAGAGACCCACAGAGACCCATACTCATAGAGACCCATACTCATAGAGCCCCACAGAGACACACACTCATAGAGACCCACAGAGACCCATACTCATAGAAACCCACATAGACCCATACTCACAGCGACCCACAGAGACCCATACTCAGAGAGACCCATACTCACAGAGACCCACAGAGACCCATACTCACAGAGACCCATACTCATAGAGACCCATAGAGACACACACATAGAGACCCACAGAGACCCATACTCACAGAGACCCACAGAGACACATACTCATAGAGACCCACAGAGACACATACTCACAGAGACCCATACTCATAGAGACCCACAGAGACCCATACTCATAGAGACCCACAGAGACCCATACTCATAGAGACCCACAGAGACCCATACTCATAGAGACCCACAGAGACCCATACCCACAGAGACTCACAGAAACCCATACTCACAGAGACCCACAGAGACACATACTCACAGAGACCCACAGAGACACATACTCATAGAGACCCATACTCATGGAGACCCACAGAGAACCATACTCACAGAGACCCAAAGAGACCCATACTCACAGAGACCCACAGAGACCCATACTCATAGAGACCCATACTCATAGAGCCCCACAGAGACACACACTCATAGAGACCCACAGAGACCCATACTCATAGAAACCCACATAGACCCATACTCACAGCGACCCACAGAGACCCATACTCACAGAGACCCATACTCATAGAGACCCACAGAGACCCATACCCACAGAGACTCACAGAAACCCATACTCACAGAGACCCACAGAGACACATACTCACGGAGACCCATACTCACATAGACCCACAGAGACACATACTCATAGAGACCCACAGAAACCCATACTCACAGAAACCCACAGAAACCCATACTCACAGAGACGCATAGAGACCCATACTCATAGAGACCCACAGAGACCCATACTCATAGAGACCCACAGAGACCCATACTCATAGAGACCCACAGAGACCCATACCCACAGAGACTCACAGAAACCCATACTCACAGAGACCCACAGAGACACATACTCACAGAGACCCACAGAGACACATACTCATAGAGACCCATACTCATGGAGACCCACAGAGAACCATACTCACAGAGACCCAAAGAGACCCATACTCACAGAGACCCACAGAGACCCATACTCATAGAGACCCATACTCATAGAGACCCACAGAGACACACACTCATAGAGACCCACAGAGACCCATACTCATAGAAACCCACATAGACCCATACTCACAGCGACCCACAGAGACCCATACTCACAGAGACCCATACTCATAGAGACCCACAGAGACCCATACCCACAGAGACTCACAGAAACCCATACTCACAGAGACCCACAGAGACACATACTCACGGAGACCCATACTCACATAGACCCACAGAGACACATACTCATAGAGACCCACAGAAACCCATACTCACAGAAACCCACAGAAACCCATACTCACAGAGACCCATACTCATAGAGACCCATACTCATAGAGACCCACAGAGACACACACTTATAGAGACCCACAGAGACCCATACTCATAGAGACCCACAGAGACCCATACCCACAGAGACTCACAGAAACCCATACTCACAGAGACCCACAGAGACACATACTCACAGAGACCCACAGAGACACATACTCATAGAGACCCATACTCATAGAGACCCACAGAGAACCATACTCACAGAGACCCAAAGAGACCCATACTCACAGAGACCCACAGAGACCCATACTCAGAGAGACCCATACTCACAGAGACCCACAGAGACCCATACTCACAGAGACCCATACTCATAGAGACCCATAGAGACACACACATAGAGACCCACAGAGACCCATACTCACAGAGACCCACAGAGACACATACTCATAGAGACCCACAGAGACACATACTCACAGAGACCCATACTCATAGAGACCCACAGAGACCCATACTCATAGAGACCCACAGAGACCCATACTCATAGAGACCCACAGAGACCCATACTCATAGAGACCCACAGAGACCCATACCCACAGAGACTCACAGAAACCCATACTCACAGAGACCCACAGAGACACATACTCACAGAGACCCACAGAGACACATACTCATAGAGACCCATACTCATGGAGACCCACAGAGAACCATACTCACAGAGACCCAAAGAGACCCATACTCACAGAGACCCACAGAGACCCATACTCATAGAGACCCATACTCATAGAGCCCCACAGAGACACACACTCATAGAGACCCACAGAGACCCATACTCATAGAAACCCACATAGACCCATACTCACAGCGACCCACAGAGACCCATACTCACAGAGACCCATACTCACAGAGACCCACAGAGACCCATACCCACAGAGACTCACAGAAACCCATACTCACAGAGACCCACAGAGACACATACTCACGGAGACCCATACTCACATAGACCCACAGAGACACATACTCATAGAGACCCACAGAAACCCATACTCACAGAAACCCACAGAAACCCATACTCACAGAGACGCATAGAGACCCATACTCATAGAGACCCACAGAGACCCATACTCATAGAGACCCACAGAGACCCATACTCATAGAGACCCACAGAGACCCATACCCACAGAGACTCACAGAAACCCATACTCACAGAGACCCACAGAGACACATACTCACAGAGACCCACAGAGACACATACTCATAGAGACCCATACTCATGGAGACCC